TCTCCTTCCTCTCCCCAGCTTACTACCCTCCCCCCCTCCCCCGCACCTAGCCCACAGTGGTTGTTCTATCAGTCTGTGATTTTTTTTTGGTGCTTAACTAGAATTTACACACCTTAGAGTCTATGATGATACCACCAAAAAAAAAAAATCATGTTTTTCATATGCCTCTCACCTCTTCAAGTGAAAAATACAGTTGAAACACACAATTTCTGATGACCTAATGATCTTAATGTGAAATACTGGTTGAAATTGAGACCAGAAAAAAAGGACCCCCAGGTTCTGTGAATTAAAAATGATATATGAGATAATTAAAGATTACATGAATATATAGGTAAAATGAGTTTAATAATATATGGGTTTATGCACTAGGGTTTTATATGTAACTTATTTATTGCTATAAAAGATACATTATAAAGTTATATATATTAGATATCCTTTTATTTATATATATATGACTGCTCAAAATATTAGTGTTTTTGGTAGATCAATTATACTTGACTCCTATAGAAATGGTAATTAATTTAACTTAGGAAAGTACTGTCAACAGGAATAGCTCAAAGAAGGGCACAGACCACCTCTCAGCAAACATTTACTGAGTATCTACTGTGTACAGGAGGAAGGGAGGGAGGAAGGGAAAAATATGGTATCAAGACAAGCTACAACAGACAGTAATCTCTTTGAGAGTAGATGGATATACATCTTCAGTTTGATCTATTCTTAAGGAGAATTACAAAGAAATTTAGAATTTTATGTAGGTTTGTTATTGATAGTAATGTTGGTGAAAATTCTGAAACTATTTTGTATTTATTGTAGCACTGGAAAAATAAGTAAATACAGAGATATTTTGGGAATCATCAACTGAGGGAGGACTATACAAACCTAATGTGAGAAAGAGGAAGAGCACTGCGGTGGTGAATTAGAACTAGAGGTATTACACAACTTCAAAAAAACATATTTCCTAGCTCTGCCCTCCAAAAGAGGGAGAAGCAAAACAACCCATTTTGCAAGGGTACACATGGCCCATTCCTCTTTAAAGGAGCCAGGACTCCTTAGGAAACTGGCTGACTCCAGGGCTGGGACACTGTACAGTAATTTTCCAGGGAAATTTTAAGGTAAACTGGAACATCTGTCTGCACCAGAAATTACTGAAGTGCTCAAAGAATGATAGAGTGGTATCAAAAGGGCACAAGTACTAGAAACAAGATTTTTTCAACGACCCCCATGATAAAACTGAAAATGCTTTCCTATAAGAATACCAAAACTTATTGTGAGATCACACAACCACTTTTGGTTATTCAATTTGAACTGGTGACTAAATCATGGAAATATGGGAAGGCGGTTAAGTATGAAGTGCCTGTCCACCTATGCTACCCTGCCACCCAAATCCCTGCCCAGACTTTGACCCAGGAATCAGAAAATTCCAATTACATGACAGCAGAGCTTAAAAGAACCTTGGAAATGATCTTGCTTAATCCACTAATTTTATAGAGATGAGTAATCTGAGCCTGAGGAGTCAAATGACTTGCACAAAATGGCAGAGTGAGAAGGAGACTCCAAGGCTCCTGACCCCCTATTACGAGTGTGGGTGTAGCTGTGGTTACCCCGATCCTGCATTCCCACTTGCAGGGGTCGGTCACTGGGGCTAGTGGGGGGGATTGCATGGGTGCTGTCCCAGCTACCTATCATTTATTATATGGGAAAATGGGGAAATGCATTCCTTGAATTAACAGTTAGAAACTGCCAGTATAGCAACAAGGGATTTTAATTTGACAACTTTTGAGTCTTTCTTCAGATTGGCTACCTCTCTTTGTAGAACCTGACCTAAGGAATCCCTCTAAACTCTAAAATCCCATGACTTCCCTTTTTACAATTCCAATAACCTAAGCCAATGGTAGGCCTAATCAAGATTTTAGATTATTTAATGCAGTGAATTAGTTCTTCCAATAACTTTATTGACTTATTGATTTTTATTAGGTTTTTATTGATTTTTATTAGATTAACTATCTGATGATGTAAAAGGACATATCTGAAATGGTATTTAAACATTAAGTTTCAAAATATTTCAACATTATCAAAGGATTTATATATAAGGTAGAGGGATGATACATAGCAAGACAAAACTTCAGTGTTTTTCAAAAGGAATGAGCATTTTAATAATGTGAAAGAATCAAGGCTGTGTTTTAGACCTTTCTTTTTAACTCAATCTGAAATATCTAATAAACTCTTAAGATTTATTAGACAAGCTCCCAGGGAATACTAAAACCAATGTCTTCCTATAAATTGCTATAGAAAGGCTTTAAGAAACTAGTCTTAGTATAACATATCTGTCATAAAGAAATCATCTACTAAAACAACACTGTCATCTTCAGCAGGCATTTTAAATCCTAAATGTTATAATTAGATAATTCTATTCAACAGGCCTGCTCAATAAATTACTAAGGAGAATATTTCAGTGAACACACACTAGAAGGGCCAGTCATAGCCTTGGATGTTCAGGATTAGACCTTATACAGCATATTCTCTGAAATGGCCTCATCTCAGTGAATCACAAATTCTGATAAACCACATAACTATTTGATGGAAATTAAGGCAATTTGAAAAAAAAAGAATTCATAGATGTTCATATAGATGAATAACACTTTTAAATTAAGGTAGTTAGCAGTCACTGGAGTAGAAACTTCAGCATGAAGACTCCTTGAGAAGACGACATCTAAATAGGGACTT